TTGGATTTAAACTTCAACTCCAAAATAAAATATCCCAAAGGAAAAACAACATAAGGATAAAAAATTACATTCTAATGTTACAATTCGTTCCATTGATCGATATAACGACCAAATTGCATATGATAATCTGTTATGACCGATAAATAAAATATGAAATCAGTATTTAATAACACTGAATATAATTTTCTGTGGACAACCACATTTAATGCCGAACACCCAAATGAAAATATGAACGAAAGGTAGGCGCTACAATTTGCAAATGTGAAATGCAATTTCGGTGATAACTTCCACTGAGTTAACAAGCTAAACGAGCCTTTATGCCCCGAGTTAAATTGAGCAGGCTTGGGCTGGTTTGATTTCCGGAAAGTTTTTCGCTCAGGGCGCCTGTCATGGCGGAAGTAAGGAAATAATGTGAAAACCGCCTGCGGCAGTCAAAGCTGGAAAACACAATGGAACACGAGGATTCGCCCGCTCTGTCCGCCAGCCAGGATTCGCTTCTTATTTATACGCGAATCCCTTTGTTTTTGATATTACTGCCTCCTGACCGGTCGAATAAATTTGCAGCGTCTCATTTTTCCCTCAATTTTGTTGTTCTATATTGAAATATGCTTGAAATTTTAACTCTTTATCCTCTCTTCTGACTGAAGACTACTCTAAGATAAAAGCATGTTAACAAAGTATATATTTTTCTACAGTTACAACACTGAGAAATTGATTATTGCGAGACTCTTAATTAAACATTCATCTATTGAGATATAATAGTAATTTATAATTATCATAAAATCACAATTTGTAATTTCGTACTTTCTACTTTTCTTATATTGATCTTATATATTTTGATATGTATTCCCTGAATTCTGCATAGCGTCGTCCTCAATTCTTACGATAAATCGATAATTTATTTTAATTCAACAAAAAATTCGAAATAGATAATTTTATGATTATTCAGTAGGTCTTAATACTTTTTTCTTTCTTTGTCCTAAATACAATCCCATTTTTCGATTTTTAGAATCTCAGAAAATAGAAAAGTGATATTTTATTTTTCTATTCCCGTATTTGTTCACCGAAAACCAATGCAGTTTGAATCGCTGCATCAATGGAGCGCGATTTGCACCAACGAAAAATGGTTACTTCACGAAGAAAATATAAGCGATTAGCCAAATTATGCAGCTGTGTTGAATAGCGGAGCGTTCACTTTGTGACAAAATATCGTGAAAGAAATACACTACTGCGTCGAGCTTTATGGTAGGTCCTTTATTGGCCCAATATTCGTGGCCGCCGGCACCGAATTCATCGGACGCTAGTTTTTGTTCCTTTTATTCCCAATAACTCGAACAGGGCGCAACACGGTTCGCGTAATAGAAAACGTGTAACGCACTTATATGCCGTGGTATTCCCGGCCAATTGCACTTTTTCAGAACAGGTACGATTTAAATAACCCTCCGTGGAAAAAATAGGCAAATTAAAAAAGTTTATAGGAATTCAATCTGTAGTTGTAAAATAATGGGAAATTCTAAAAGCCGCTCGAAATTACGAATTCGCCCAGCAATCATTCAATTTCACTCAATCTTCATCTGTTTATATTAATTTTCACAAACAGTAGTGGAACAAATTGAGAAAAAAATATCAATCTTTTGTTCAAAACTAATAGGTCTGTCGTATTTGTTTCAACAATTAATAAAATCTATATAATCGAAAATTGTCAATCTTGTGCAGAAATTATGATATTGGGATTAATGTGACATCAAAATACTTTTCAGCCGCAAGCTCGGTAATAAAATCGTGCACGGAGAAAAATAATTTGCTGGCCCAGCAAATTTTCTGCTAGTCTAGTAAAATCTTTTCGTTATATGGACAGCAAAAAGATTTGCTAAGAGTACTAATCACTATTTGCTAGATATAATTTGCTGAATCTACAAATTATTTTGCTGTAAGAACCATGATGATATTTATAAGTAGTTGCAGTTTTGCTCCGATAGCAAATAAATTTGCTATCGGAGGATATATTATTTTGCATTGATAGCAAATTAACGTGATTCTTAAGATAAATACACTCAATAAATTTTTTGTATCCTGACAACGAAACTACTTCTGCTCTGATAACAAGTAATTTGTAAAATTAGTTACAACTAAATTTTTTTGTTGTCTCTGCAAATATGTAGTAGCAAAGACGATTTTGCTAAAAAAGCAAAATTATCTTTCTCCATGTGGAAAACGCAAATTTCTGTTAATAAATTTATGTGTGTATATATATAAACTAATGATTATCGATGAAATTGTCGTAGGACATGAAAATTACTCACCAACCCTGTTCGCAGCATCCACTCTTATTAATCCTCATCTCGTAAATTCCATCCTTTCCGTTTCATAACGAATTCCACTTTAGTGACAAGAAGTGACATTTACCATCCATTATCTCTGCGAGGATCAGCGGAGACTGGGAAACCAATAAATCTATATCAACTGAAGAGATCACGAGGCAAACTTCACAGAATTTAATACGATGTTGATTCGCGCTCGAGTCGCGCCGACCCAGCTCGAATAATCCGCGGCTTGCTCGCGGGAGCATAATGCATGGATTTCATGGTAAATATATTTACGGGCACAGCGGAATGAAAGAGAATACCGAGGAGGGATGGACACACACAGAGGGGGCAGCATAGCGGGTGGACGGCACCGCGCCCCTTTCGTGTTACGGGGCTGAGTATCCGTGGCTCCGGCTGATTTACATTTACGATCACTCATCTCTGCCTCGACCCGGGCTCGTACTACAGCTTATTAACTCATTCGTCTCGGTCATGAATAATTTACCACCTTGACACACCATTGGGTACCGCCCGGTGTTGTTCGCGCGGGATCGCCGCTTCTGTCTGGATAAGAGCTAGCCGACTCTCCGAAAAAGAGAATGGCTGCTTAGCTAAGTGTTTGGCTTACGACGCTACTGCTCAACAAAGATCTCAGATGGTTCCCAGCGAATGGAAATAAAATAGAGGTTAATAAATGACTATTATTATTAATACGTGGATTCTAAAATGAAAAATACAATTCCACTAATAAGACACTCTGTGAAAGATTTTAATAAAAAGTGATTGATGAAATTTAAGTAAGAATAATATTAACCTATTAAAAGTTTTGAAAAAACTTATCAAAAAGGAAAGAATATAGAATTCTGTAAAAATTATCCCGAATTAATCTATACTTTGAAAAACTCGAAAAAATCACTAAATTGTGAAGAGAATACAATCTATCTAATAAAAGCTAGGACAAAGTTAAACTCTTTATTAATTCTAAAGATTCACGTTTATAAAGATTTTATAAAGACTGGCAGTCCTGATTATTTCACAACATGCAGTGTGTAATTACAGTGTGTTTCATTTATTTCCTCGATATATAATTTCGATCTGTCGCTATAGAAACCAAAGAATTGAGAATTTTCGTGTTTGATTGAATTCCAAGTCAGAAAAATAAAAAACATAGATTTCATTTTAATTATTTATTTTTACAATTCAAAAATTTAAAAAAAGAAAAATTGTCTTAAAATTCACGGATAAGAGGTTGTTTTGAATCATCTTGTATAGATCTATAATTAAATATATCATATATTCTTGTAAAAATGTATTTCTCTCACTTCGATTATCATCTATGTTGATGTGACACAAAATTTACCGATAGCATATTATTAAACAGTGAAATTTTTTACATGCTAAGTCCCAGGATAACTCTGACAGCTCTGACAGTTTTTATTCTTATCTCTTGCAATGTCCAGAATGTAATCTAACACGAGAATACACACAATGAACTTAACATCACTAGATAAATCCTTTCTTTTCGACTGTAAAAAGTTGAAAATGTTGATATTATCATCACGCGATAAGAAAGAACGTGCGTTACCCTCTCAAATATATTGGCACATACCAACATATAATAAAGGATGTCTGAATAAAAGATGCACAATAACACTTTAACTAATAACAAGATAAATTGTTTATATATGTAAATAATAATATAAAATAAATTGATTTGCAGCATATAGATAAAATTAAAAATAGAATAAATGTACGAATAATTTATAAACATAAAAAATAAAATAACGATAACGTGCAACTATTTAATGTGACTCTGCTCCCTCAGTGATACACACATGCCCAGAATCTTTAAAATAATTTTCCAATATCCAAAAGTCGCGTAGATAAAATTTCGAGAAAGTAGATAATTGTATAAGATAATAATAATTTTTTTATGCATACAATAAGAGAGAATGAATAGATATTATTACAAGAACATATGATTTTATTATTAAAATGAGTGAGTAATATAAATATATAAGGTAATATCTATTATATATACCTTACGATTTTAAATGGTAATATTGGTAGTTAAGAATAAATTTTATTAGCTAAAGTTGAAATTTAACGCAACGTGCGCAATTTAACTCGCATTGTCCTCCAGCAGACGGTGTTTAGCAAAATACGCACACTTGGCGTCGTTTTCGAAAATAGATCTTTGGAAACTTGAAAATTACCTTAAAAAACTATAAAAAATAGTCGAGGGAGCAGACAAACGTGTTCCCAAAATGTGCTCTAGATACTAATACTATGTAATCTGAACAACCTGCAGCGACATAACCGGTTCTGGCCCTTGAGCAGGATAGGTTTCACTGCACATGCGCGAGAATCCGACTTTCCAACGCTACGTAAATAAATTTTTATAAAAAGCATGACACACATTTTTTAATACAAATATGAGAAAACTACTGTATCTCCAATTAATAATAATCAAACTTAATCAGAAATATAAAATTAATTTTTTAATATAAATGCTTCATTTTATTAAATAATAGAGTTATATTCTAAGTTAACTAATGAAAATAAAAATATTAAATAAATATAAATTTTGTATGATTAACTTATAATTTACGACACTAATATTTTAATTACGGCCATGAAGGGTACCATCAATTAATGAGTGTGATATTACGTGGGCATATAAGAAAAATTAAATTGTCAACTATGCAATTTATTCTTGGACGGTATCTGTTTGATATTTGCACAATATATTAACAATTATTATTTTGTTAACTTGATAAAAAAATACACAAAATACTGATATATTATAATAATATTAGGACACTCTCTGGAGCCCTGCTCAGATCAAAGTCGTTTGCAACAAAAAATATATATTTATTTATTTATTTATATATTTTTATGTATAATAATCTGTGCGCGCGGGAAACATGGGCCAGTGTCGATAATTCTCTTCCTTTACTTCGCAAAACATGTATGTACATCAAGCATATCTCAGGATCCAGATTTTTTTCGAGTTTAAATCGAATATCCTTGCATCATCTAGGAACAAGGGATTTTTCTCGTACCGTTCGATTCAATTATTTAATATTTACAAAGTTGAGAAATTTCTAATTCCAGCTTTATAATTGAGAGAAATTCTTGAAATTTTTCTCAACCTCACATTGAGTGATTGAAAGATTCCAAGAATTTTAAAAAATCCCAAGAATTTAGAAAAAAATGTTTATTTTTACACATAATTTTTTGAAAGTCGTGCATCTGAAGATACAAGGAACTCTCTCTCTCTCTTTCTCTTTACATTGCAATCACAGGATGCGCGGAAGAAGAATTACACGCGTACTGACCCTGCAAAAAATATCTGCATTAAAAGGAATGAATAGGAACTTGTTTTGTATTAATCATCTCGTTATAATCGGACATACAATATGCAGCATTGCTTTAAATAAATATTGTGTACAACTTATCTATATTTCTTATAGAAGAGAAAGGACTTTGAGTCGCCTGTCGATACAAACAAAAAGAAATAATATTTTAAATTAAAGTAGATGATCATATTTGTTTTTTACTCGCCATTCTTTCGTATTATTTTAACAAAGATTATAAGAAAAATAGAATCGTTATGACACATAACATAACATCTTGGGAAAAGATAGGGAAAAAGTAGGAAAGAACAGGAAGAATATAAAAATGTCGAAATAAATATATGAGATTTTAAAGATTGGAGAGTTGATTTTACAGAATAAATTCCCGTCGATTCCTTTTAATTCAGCCATTTTTTGCAGGAGAAATATCCCACATAATCTAGAAAAATGTACAATGATGTTGGCCGAGCTAACATTCCGTGCGTATATTCTCGCCGCGGAAAAGATACTTATTTATGTCATACAATCGATCGTTCTGCAATAACATCCACAAGAATAACATTTAATAACGCTCATACGCGAAATACGCGTTTATCTCGCTCCTTGGACTGCACGCTTCTACTCATCATAACAAGGTAGGCCACTTTTCAACATAAAAAATCTAACGTCACGCTTTACTAAAATATTCCGCTAAAGATACAGCTTCTTGAATGTGCTTACATCATTAGTCCTCAACTACTATAGCCCAATCCTGATAATGCACATGTTACAGCAAGATCAATTCTAACTCCGGGAGCATACAGTTACATCCAATTTTAACGAAAGCTATTAATTATTACAATTAAGATTACGACAGAAAGAAGATAATAAAAGAAGCGCGAAAAAAATGCAAAATCTCTTTGTATTCTATAAATTTTGAATCTCACAAATTCTCATTAAAGTCAAACTTGATCCTACCATATCGTAGTTGAGAATTAACTCTGACGCATACACGAAGTACTCGAATTGTACCGCTGAAATAAATGGAGAGATAACATATCTAAATTATTAAGTTATTTTGTTTTTCTTTTTTAATTTCTGTTCGAATAGTTATGGTTTAAAATAAAAGAAGAATTATCTTACGACGTAACATAATAATTGTGTTTTATAATACGAAATATATAAACACACGTGTACAAATATGCTGGGTATTTCAGAGTCTTGTGAAAAAATTGCATGTACCAATTCGAGCACTGCGCGCACGTGCACGCATACACACACATATAGATACACGTTCTAACAACTAGAAGTGTGCTATCGCTACACTTCAAGCAGCAACCTTGAGAGAGAATGGAATGTGTTGCGTCTTTTATGATACAAGGATAACATGAACATTATACTTTGTTAGCAATTATATTTACAAGACTTACAAATCACACCTAGTAAAAAATGACACAATCAAATCGTGCCTATTGCAATTCGTTCTCACCCTATTCTCCCCATTAAATTGATACTATCGATTCGCGACCGTTGTCGTCTGTCGTCTATCCTCTATCGTCCTATAATCTCCAGGATTCCAGGATCCTAGAACTAGTTCACAATTTTTGGCTCGAAGGACCTACGGATTCATGAGAACCTGTGTCCCATACAAATCCTTAGGTTTGGGGATGCAGGAAGTTAACAGCCTAAACGTGTGTCAAGAACCTTAGGTATTTGGATATGCATAAATTCGGATCTTTCGTAATTATTATACAAAAATTCTTTTATTCTAAATTCGAGAATGCAAACACGTTCTCAAATTTCTTCACTCAAGTTTTTTTTTCTATTATCCTTTTATTCCCAAGAACTCGGAGATCCCGAAATGTTCATATCCGGAGATCGCTAAATAAGACAGAACCCCAAATCAGTCGCCACACGTTTAAAAAAAAAATCTCGTTCGATCGCCTGCTTAATAAATAACGAGCAGTTGCAGGTAATTCGCACTGTTTACGTAAAAATGATGAGCTAATTTGTGTCGTGTCCCTGTATATTACCCACAGTCGTGGAACATGTCGATCTGCATTTCGAGTTCGAAGCACGATTGATATGAAAGAATCCCTAAATATGGATTAGTCCTAGCATTCGGACTTGTCCTCCTCGACCAGTTGTTGAGTATCCTTGCCCGAGTCAATGGGCGTCGGATCCAGTTCTCTCCTCTTTAGATGTAGTTGCGGGGGTTCTTTGTGCTGTACACTGGAGGGTTTCATCTCCGCCGGCACTTCATACATGCTACTGGCACCAGTACCGTTCGTGGTGCCACTTTCCATATTCACCGCATCGTACATTGGATTGCTGAAGTCTCGATTCTTATTAGTGACGTCATTGAGGTTGTACTCCACATCGAGAGGCTCCTACAAACATAAAAATAATGATTATAAGACATCTATTATATCTATTATTTTGCTTGTTTTCCGGGTTTGAAACGCGTCTTTCTTGTATTTGGTTCCAACGTTGCGTGAACATTTCATTTCACTTCTTCAGGGAGCAGGGCGACCTGTTTCAATTTGTTCAATTTATCTCGATAAAAAGTTCGTGAATTTATTCTGAGAGAGATGTAACTATAATTTGGAAACACACCAATAATTATCTTGTCAACAGATCAGATTTCTTCATCTTCTTTATGAATAAAAATGCCTTTATGTCTTCAAAACTCATAAATTTATTTCAAATGGCAAAAAAGTAAAAATATAGCGAAAGAACTCACCATCCTTTCGTGAGCAGCTGAACCAAATTCTACGTTGCTGCCTTGACGGAAGGAAACACTTTGCGCGCCAGTAAGACTGCTCAAGCCACCAGGCTTACTGCTATGAACAATGATGATGTTTTATGATGGATAATATTATCTTTGTTGCATACTATATTTTATCTAAAATCATTATACTTACAATGGCCGCTTTTTGAGAACCATGAATACCGCAGCAATGCCGAACAGAACTAGCAGAGTCACAACTATAGGAATAACTATGGCAGCGGTGGATCCGCCTGCTATGGCAGCGACTGCCGCCATCTCGCAGAATTCACCGTGAAATTCTTCACGGCAGTTACATGCCAGCTTATCGTCCACCTCTTGGCACCGTCCGCCATTTTGGCAACGACATATCCTGGGTGCAGGTAACGGTCTCTCGTTAGTAGCATCACAATGTCTCTCGTTTTCGTTCCTGATGGGTCGTTGAAGAGGACCAACACTGTCCGAGCAGAGGCAACGATGTCCACCAGGGATTGTAACACAAAGATGAGTGCACTGATCATTGTGGCAAGGGTCTCTCAGAGTAGTATTATATCTCAGTTGGTGATAGACTCTAACGCCTCCAGGACTAGGCAGATTCTTGACAATAATGTTCGGCACTCCTCTGCCAAATTTGTCTTGCCGGACAAGCTCGCCTGTCTGCCTGGTGGTCCAATAAAGATTGTTCTCGAAAACATCCAATGCTACTGGTTTCTTAAGGGATCTACCCTTTAGAACGACTCTCCTGTTGGTGCCAGCTAAACTGATCGCCTCAATGGTATCCAATTTGCTGTCGGACCAATAGAGCGTGTGTTCCATGGCGTAGTCGATGGTGAGCGCCGAAGGACCGGCGATTCTTTCCGACACTAGCATCTTACGCCTATCACCATCCATCCAAGCTATTTCGATCTTAGGCTGATTACCTGCATCAGCCCATAAGAGTTCTCCTCGCTCAGGGTCTACAACTACCGATGTCGGTTGCTCGAGATTCACAGTGACTAGGCTACGTCGATATCTGCCGTCCGATTTGGATACCATGATTCGACCGTGAGACGTAGCTCCTGTTTCGTCAAGTTCACTCCAATACAAATTATCGGAGATCCAATCTACCGCCAGACTTGTTGGTTTAGATTCAGCTGCAAAAATTATTAACAGTAAATATTGAGAATATATATTAATTTTTTTATTAATTAAATAAGAGTATTTGAATCTAAACATTCATTGGTCTACAACTATTTAATTAAAGAATCGGATAATATACATACTCTTCATGTTGAGATCCTGCGCATATCCAATTTTTGCTTCGCCTTTCTTGGCGTTCACCATGTAAGATCGTTTGATAGTGTTGTCCTTCGAATCGATCCAGAAAACATATTCTTCTTTGGGATCAAAATCGATGGCCTGCACCTTCTTCTCGTCACCTATCACGTCCATTTCTTGTTTAGTATGCAGTCCATAAGCTCTGACTTCAGGTCCGTTAGCAAACAACACGACAACGTCGTCATCTTCGACACGGCAAACACCACTATGACCATCTGATAATTGGAAACCTTGCCGACAAGAGCAGGCATACGTGCCATTCAAGTTGGTACAAATGTGAGAGCACTGATGTTGACCAGTTTGGCACTCATCGATATCCACGCAGTACTTTCGATTGTCTTGTGAAATTATATATCCGGGATAACAAGCGCAGATGTAGCCGCCGTCAGTAATGTTGTGGCACTGATGAGCGCAGCCGCCACGATCAGTTTCCGAACAGTGATGATTGTGATCTGAAGACGCAAAGTAGTAAATGTAATGTAAATTATAAGATATGAGAGAGAAAGGTAAAACATATCATTGACACTCACGACATCCCAACTCATCCGACAAATCGCCGCAATCATCCGCGAGATCGCAGAGTTTGTGACGATCAATGCATTTCTTATTCGAGCAGGTGTATTCCGACATCGGGTCACACGGACGTATGTGTTTGACGCATATCGTCATATTATTTTCGTCAGAACCGTCGCCGCAATTGTCGATTCCGTCGCACAACTGGTATTTGGCGATGCACTTGTGATTCGCACACTGGAATCGTCTGTGTGTATCGCACTCGAAGTTTGCTGTACAAGTAAAATGGTGTTATTTCTTATTCCTCTATTATAAAGATGAATCAACATATATTAATTTTGATAAACTCACCGCACATAGTTGGATTCTCGTCGGAATTGTCGCCGCAGTCATCAGTACCGTCGCAAATGTCAGTCTGTGCGACACAAAGATTGTTTTCACATTGGAACCGCGATTGCGGGCAATATCTTCCACCGGGATATCTCGGTGAGCAATCGATTTCATCGCTCATGTCGCGACAGTTGCGCGCTCCATTGCAACGAAGATATGCGGCGATGCAGTGGCCACTGGCGCATTTGAAGCTGTCAGGCTATACAACGCATAAAGAAGTTATATATCCTTAGTCCTTTGTATTTTTGTATTTTGCATTTTTATTTCTTCTTAGACAGCAAAAATTTTTAAAACGCATCTTAAAAATACCTAAAAAAGAAAGTCTTTTGGACGTCTTTGTAAGACGTCTTTTAGAAACTTACGCTGTCTGAGTTTATTTAAAAAGTTAGCCGGTTTCTTCTCTCCACGTAAACTTATATTGCTATAAAGATTCCTTCTGACGAATCTTTAAGCCGTCTACATACCTTGCATTCCCATTGATGGCATTCTTCCTCGTCACTGTTGTCACCACAGTCGTCTTCGCTGTCGCATCTCCATCTGGATGCAATACATTTGCCGTTCTTGCACTTGAATTCAGACTCGGAGCACTGGCGGTACTTATTCTTGCACATCGCTTCCGCCTCGTCGCTGCCGTCTCCGCAATCGTCGGCAAAATCGCAGAGCCATTGTTTCGGCACACATCGATTATTGGTGCACTTGAAGTCCATATTAGGGTCACACTTCGGACAATTCTCCGGACGTTCGTCGGAACCATCACGGCAATCGTCCTTGCCGTCGCAGAATAGCCACTTCGGGATGCACCGGTAGTTCGCATGTCCTGGACACCGTTGCCATCCAGTTGTGCAATTCTTTTGCCGACACATATACGCCGGCTCGTCACTGTCATCACCACAATCATTGTCGGAATCGCACATCCACAGCTTGGGAATACACTTGCCGTTTTTGCAGCTGAACTCGGTGCTTGCGTCGCAAACTCGGTTATCTAAAAGGCAATACAATTGAAGAGACATTGCTAAAGTAAGAATTTTCTTCAACTATCGGTACTAGAAAATATTTAACGCGTGTGTATGTATTATATAATAGGCAACTAATAAATATAATACATATATGCTGTACTAACGGCAAATAGAAGGATCTTCATCGCTGCCATCTTTGCAGTCGGCATCCCCATCACATTTCCAGGAATCGTGTATGCAACGACCGTTGGATTTGCACTTGAATTCGAGTTCCCCACATTCAAGCGCACACTTGGCCTCGTCGCTCTTGTCCCCGCAATCATCAGATCCGTCGCAGATTGTCACGGTCGACGTGCAGTTTCCATTCGTACATTGGAACATGCTCGGTCCACAATTCCTTGGTGGGCAGCTCGATGATTCGTCGGAACCGTCCTTACAATCCTTCTCTCCGTCGCACCTGCGGTGATAATTTCCCCGTGATTCTCCCGCTAAGTGTCTGGCAGAACATACAGTGCAAATGTATCTCACCTCCAATACCAAGGGATGCACTTCTCGTCGGGTGGTCCACAACGATGCTGACCCGCGGTGCAATTCGCGATGCACGTCTTGCCGTCCTTGTCCAGAATGAACTGATTCGGACACTTGCACTTGTAGGAAGTGACTCCAGGTTGGCCGTATCCTTCGAGCAGGTATGAGCTAGCGGGCGGTGCGATGAGGCACAGATGCGAGCAGTTGTTCTGCGCACAGGGATTGTTGTAAGGCAGCTGCCGAAGAGGGTGGTACGCGTGGATGTCGTAAGGTCGATGAGTGGTGTTGCGCAACACTCGTAGGCCATCGCCAGAGAACTTGTTCGCCCTGCTGATGGCTTTCAGGTTCCAGTCGGTCCAGAAAATGAAATCATCGAATACTGTAATGGCGAAAACGTGTGGCACTGAGGCGCCCGACCGAACGATTCGCCGATTATGACCCTCGAGGTCGGCGAAAGCGATGTAGTCCAGATGAGCATCGGCCCAGAAGATACGGTCGGTGAAGTAGTCGATTGTCAGAGCGTTTGGCCAGGCGATGTCGTCTTCCCACGTGAGAATTCGTGTGAAGTTGCTCCCGTCCATGCCCATCTTGCCGATATACGCCTGGAATTTAACAAGACATTTCCAATAATTTCAAATAACTAAAGCTCTTGTGACTTGATAGACTGATTTTAGCTTTGACAATCGAGCTGCGTGCTATAATATTCACCTGAAGATGCCATGATGTGAAATATAAATATCCAGTGCCAGGATGAACTGCGATAGCACGCGGATCTGATATTCCGGACTGCAAGGTCTTCCTGTTGGTGCCGTTAAGTTCGGATACGTCCAAATGTTTTGCGTGACGATCCAACCAATATAATTTTCGACCTATCCAGTCGATAGCTATTCCTTCCAAACCCAAACTATCGTGACGAATGATGGGTTCTTTTTCACCACCGTTTATTGGCGCTCTAAATAAAAAACACAAATGCAAACCTTAATCAAGTTCAATTTGAATACTTGGCATCAAATAAAGTCACTAGAAAATAAACTAATTAATGAAAACTGTCCAGCTTCACATATTTTAACGCTAAACACAAAATACTTATTAGACAGACCTGTATATCGTTTTCGCGGTGACGTCACAGAAGTACAACATTTGCTCAGCGTAATCCGCGTCCAGCGCAACAACGTTGATGAGGTCTTGATGCATTAGACTATAATTGTGCGCATCGATCGACATATTTCTAACGTAATATTTGTTCGTGAATATAATCCATGGCTGAATGATGTCTCTACGCTTGCACGTGTGTTCGTCAGCCTCTCTGTCGTACCAACGCTCGTTGCACTTGCAGTAATAACCGCCAGGTGTGTTCTCGCACTGTTGGCTGCACACTTGGGGTGTCTCGATACACTCATCGATGTCGTCACAGGCCTTACCGTCGGCCAACAGCTTGTAGCCACGATTGCATTCGCAATAGAAGCTGGTCGGAGTGTCCACGCACTTGTGTCCGCACTGATTCAGCTCGATATGAGCGCACTCGTTCACGTTACAATGCGAGGGCTCGTCACTCTCATCGGCGCAGTCTGGGTTCTTGTTGCACACCAGTCGCGAGTCGATGCAGTTACCATTCGCGCACATGAAATCCGTCGGATTCGGACACGTGGTGTTCTTCCCCTTAGATGCTGAAAAAAAAATATAGCTCGTGATTGTTAAACGAAGTAACACTTTAATCGCAGAAGTTTCTGCGTCAGAAATATTAAGAAACAAGTAAGGCGATTGAAAACACGTCCAATAAACAGCAACTAACAGTAACATTATACCAATGTTATAATTCCCCAATCAACAATGTCACTGTTTCATAACACTCGCGTTATACTGCATTTATATCGTTGAGTAAAAAATTATAACATTGATTAACATTGATTAACGTTGATGTTATGTTACTGATAATTGTCTTTATTTAAAAGATTAAGATTTTTACCTAAATTGGGAACCTCCATTTTTCTTGATATCCAAGTTTGAATGCATTGAAAGATTAATTATATGACGATTAACAATTATTGCGCAATAATTAAACTATACTTACGACAGTTCACTTCGTCCGAGTGATCGCCGCAATCATCTTGACCGTCACAACGGAACTGCTTGCGTATGCATTTGAAATTCTGACAAGTGAACTCTTGGGTTGGACTGCAATGCTTGTATTGGTTGTTGCAGAAATTGCCCTCGTCGCTACCGTCACCGCAATCGTTGTCATGGTCGCATAGCCAGCTGCGATTCAAGCACCGTCCGTTGTTGCAAGTGAACTGATTGTCGGCACAAGGAGTTGCTGCCGGGCATTGATGCAAAGTGGAATTCTCGTCAGCTCCATCAACGCAATCTGGATCTCCATCGCACAACCATTTCTTCGGAATGCACTGAGCGCGATTCCACATTTTGTTCTCAGTGCAAGTGAATTCAGTTTCTTCGTCACATTTTCTATCGTCTGGAAATTCAATTAGTTTCTCGTGAATATAATCGCGTGATATTTAATTTTTATTAAAATATATTTAAGAAAAATGATAATAAATAAACTGACGAAATATAAGTGAATATATAATTGAGAACACTTACTACATTGATGACGTTCATCTTCATCAGAATTATCCAGACAATCATTGTCTCCGTCGCATATATAGATTCTAGGAATGCAGTTGCCGTTATCGCATGTGAACAAGTCACCAAAGCACGTTCTGCCTTCGGTTTGGCAATAACCAGGAGGTTCGTCACTTCCGTCCAGGCAATCGTCGTCTCCATCGCAATGCCAAGTAGCTGGAATGCACCTGTAATATAAAATACATTAAAAACACTGCCCTACATTAAAAACCCTGCCCATTATATATAAAGACATTAAAATAACTTTAAAAGATCATAATTTTTCTAGTGTTTCTGAAAAGTCTGATCATTATGGAATTATTCGTTAAAGATTTACCTGTGATTAGGACATCGGAAACTATTCTGTGGACAGGTCCTCTGAGCACAATTAATAGGATTCTCATCACTATTGTCGCCACAGTCATTGTCACCATCACAAAGCCAGTAGGGTTCCACACAGATGTTCGTTTTCTCGCACTTAAGATGATTCAAGGGACACGTAGTATTACGAGGGCAACGCTCGTGGGTCTCGTCTGAAGTGACATTATCCTTGCAGTCATTGATGCCGTTGCACACTTGTGACTGTGGGATACAGCGATAGTTTGCACAGGTAAATTCACCTGCCGCACAGGGCGGATAAACGCATCCCTCTTCGTCGCTACCGTCCCGACAGTCGTTCTCGTGATCACATTTCCACGTTTTGAAGATGCATCGACCATTATTACAACGGAATTCGTTCGGACTGCACGAGTGATAAGCTGAAACATGAAGATTTTCAACGAACTGTTCTCCCAACATGTTTATATTAATATTAATAACAAGCAATGTTTGCTTTCGTTTTATTTCTAACTTTTTACACTTACAACAATAACTCGCGTTCTCATCAGAGCCGTCACCGCAGTCGTCATCGCCGTCACAGGCCCACATCCTAGAGATACACCTGCCATTCCTACAAGCGAATTTGCTGGCGTCGCAAGTAACGTTCTTTGGTACGCACATCCTGTTTTCGTTCACTAGTCTGCTATTATCGTCGCACTTGCACTCCGCAGAGCCGTTATGACCCGGATGGCAGGACTGATCACAGCCACCGTTATTGATATTGCAAGGATTAACGGTACATTGTTGTCTAGCTGCAGAAAAGACGTGAAGATCTCGCGGAGAATCTTCCAATCGCTTCACCAGCTCGATCTTGTCGGCTCCGGTGTGCTTTTCCGCTCGATAAACTCCACGAAGCTGCAGATCCGTCCAATAGATATGCTCTCTAAAAACAGTGATAGCGAAGGGGTAGATCGTAGCGCTAACTAGAATTTCCCTATTGTTTCCTTCAAGATCGGATCGCTCGATTTTCTCGCGCACTGCATCAGTCCAATATAGCATGCGATCGTCGTAATCAATCGCTAGACCACTAGGTTGCGAAAGATCTTTGTCGATGATGGCTCGTTTCAGCGACCCTGCCATGGTTGTCTTGAAGATTTTTCCAGACGTCCCGAAGCGACCCCAATCAGTGAAGTAAAGCGAACCGTTGCAGGGATCAACGACGATAGCACGTGGACGATCTACACGTGCAATCATTACCAAGTTAGTTCCATTGATATCCATTGCGTAGATACTGTTATTGGAAGAGTCCGTCCAATACACCTTCTTCTGAGTCCAATCATAGGAAATGCCTTCAGGATTAATTCCTTTACTGAGTAATATATGTACATCGGAATAGGATGGTCGGTCAGATGGCGTCCATGCAATCTTCGCCCAAGGACGAATCTGAGTGAACAACAGCTTCTTGTCTTGGTAATCGAAGTCCACACCAACTACGTTAGTTAAATTGCCGATGGGTGCGAAAGGCACATTGGTATTGTGCGGGTCTAAGTTTATCGCACGAATCTCTGTTCGTGTGGCGAAAACCAAATATTCTTCGACGTTCTCGCAAGTATGACCATTGGCAGAAAGCTTGCCCACCGCACAATCGCAAGTGAATGTTTTAGGATTGTCCTTCGGGAAAGCGAAACACAACTGAGTACACGCGTCGCCATTTTCCTAAAGATCAAAAAGAAAATTATTTTCGTTACCATACGATAGCTTCATTTCTTTTTAATTGAATAATCACAAATATGTATCCCAGTTCGTTTCAATACCTGCGCACAAGGATTACTTTGATCCGGTAGCTGATTGCCCTGGTCGAAAATGGCGATATCTCTAAGTTTCTGTAGATTGGTCCTAACAGGTGTGGGAAGACTAGTATTGCCCTTCAATTTGCTTGCTTTGAAGACGGTAGCTAAATTTCGGTCCACCCAATAGACATCGCCACCGAAAATAGCGACACCCATTGGATTTGGTAAATTTCTACGAATGATTTCCCGATTTCCGCCTGTGTAAGACACTTTTTGGATAGTATCTAGTTTGGAGTCCACCCAGTAAATATCGTGCGTTACAGGATCGATTGTCAGATCACGCGGTGTGCTAATACCAGATGTCACGATAGGGGACCAATTACTACCATCAAGGTAAGCCTTTCCTATTCGAGGATACTGTCCATAATCAATCCAATACAGATATCGTTTGATAGGATTCACAGCCAGCTCGCGAGGAGCATCCGTTGTTGTTTTTACAAGTACTTTTCGGTTAGAGCCATCCAACCAGCACACTTCCACATAGTTGTCATGAGGGAAGACATTAGCAAAGTACAAGTTTCCGGCAATCCAGTCCACGGCCAGGCCGCGAATTCCATTAGAACCAATTCCCTGTTTGATCACCTGATGCAATTCTGTGCCATTGGGCCGAATTCTGAAACGAAATTTATGCTGTATAACAATCTATAGTATTTGAATAACGCTAAGTTTTTGCGGATAAAAACATAGATGTAAAGATTCGTATATTTCGACATGCGTATATGGATAATATCATTTTACCTGAAGATACCATTCCAAATGCCTCGATTGAACTCCACCCAGTATATCCAATTGCCTTTATAGTGTACGTCCACGTGCAGAATATGATGACCTACTCCAGCAATGGGCACCATGGCTTCTTTAGAGTCCTTAAGACTGTAGCCCCTGGCAACATCCAACTGAGTGACTACCGCAAATGTCTTGTAGGGTTCGCAATGGGTATCGCTAATTTTCCTATATTCCATTCCACAAGCGCAGACACGAGTGCCTCCCGCTGCAGGTAAGCAAAGCTGTTCGCAGCCACCATTGTTGACGAGACAAGGATGAGATCCAGTAGCGCGTTTCTTATAAATAGTCAAGGTACGAAGCTCAGAATCATTATCAATGATAGTGACTGGGTTGTCGCCGTTAGGTAGATCGACACGCTCGACCTTATCGTAAATTGGATCCAAATAATATAAACGAGACTCGTGTACAGCTAACGCCTTCGGAAACGCTAGGTTATTTGCCGCAGAAAGGATGGTGCGAACATTCTGGCCATCCGTTGACATGGCTTTGACAAAAGCTGGATTTTGGCAGGAAAAGTATAGCATCTTGCTAGAAATATCGATAGTGATGGCCTCAGGACGTTCCAAATTATCCGCAAGAACCAACGGATTACTGCCGTCCATATTTACTCGTCCGATCTTTTGGGGCACTCCGAAACCTCCCTCATCCACCCAAAACACCTGCCCATCAATAGGATCTACGCACATTGCTTTCGGTTTAGAAACCGATGTCCGGTTGCCATCGTTTGCCAAAATGATCGTACGAAACCGCGTCTTGCCGTCCAATTTGATCGCTTCGATGTTTGACGCAAACTTGTTACCAATAAACATATTGCGACCAAGCCAATCCAACGCCATTGTGGATGGTGAACCAACGATACCGCTATCACCTTCGGGATTAGGGAACTCCGTCCTATTACCACCGTTATAGGGAATGGTATACACTGTGCCATTCTCGTCATCGCTGTCCTTGCCTGATAATTAATCAATTGATTTAGTTCTCAAGGACTTAAATTGTTATACTGTTATATGGATTTGGTTTTGATTGTTATACCTTGCAACCAATAGATGATACGATTATATCGGTCATAATCAATAAATCTTCCGCCTTCCACGCCAACAACGGGTGTAATATATCCAGTTTTGACTTCTCCGGGTGTCAAAGAAACGTCAACAATCTGAGATCCTCGGAGAATCATCAAGTATGGCGTTTCTTCTTCCACGCATCGTCCATTGGCCAACAATTTGAATCCAACCTAGAATGAATATTACCGAAAAGAAAGTATGTACATCCGATCGAAACAATTGTCATCTTTGAAAAGTTATGATTTTCGCGTGAGTTCTTTCAACTACTTACTTGGCACTTGCAACTGTATCCTGCCGGATTGCTATGCGATAAAAGACACAGATGTTCACACATCACATTAGCGCAAGGATTGGGGCCAATCGGCTGCAGTACCGGGTGATGCACGTGTATGGAAAGAGGCTGCGAGATTAAATGCGACACCACTGTTTGGTTAGAGCCCTTAAACTTGTGCGCTGACAGCACCCGATTGAGCTGTCTGTCAGTCCAATACATAGTATCCTCAAAGAGCGTAAGAGAATGAGGATGCAAGAGATAATGAGAGCTGGCTAAAACCTGAATCCTCTTACTGCCATCATAGAGACAAGTATCAATAAAGTCCAGTTTGCTATCCGCAAAGTAGATTCTGTGGTTCGCGATGTCTAGAGCCAAACCATTAGGCCAATAGATCTTTGTATTGATGATAGTCGATCGATTAGTGCCATCCATTCCAATTCTTTCGATTCTAGGATTCTCTCCCCAATCGGTCCAGAAAAGCCATCTCGCACGTGGAGTGGGATCCAAACACATACCACGGGGTTGTGTAATATTCTCCTTAACGAGTATCATTCTTCCAACTCCGGTTTCTTTAGCTACTTCAATCGTATTCAGCTTAGAATCTAACCAATATAGATTGTGACCGATCCAGTCGTAAGCAAGACCTTCTACCAGATCAAGACCGGTGCTAATAATGTCTTGGGGATCGCTGCCACGATCTAACCGGGAGATTCGTTTTAGCTTCATATCAGACCAAAAGATTGTACCCGTATGCATATTACTGGCGGTCGCCACAACGTTCTCTACATTGATAGGAACTCGTTCCAGTGCTTGATCTTGAAGATCAGCCACCAGGATAGTATGTCTATTAGAAATAATTAAGAAGGCTGCACTGTGATTATATGCCTTGCACGTGTGCTTATCTTTTTCCAACGTGTAACCCTCCATGCAGTCGCAGTAATAGCTACCCTTCGTGTTCATACAGATCTGTGAACATTTGCCTGGCGGTTCACACTCGTTTATGTCTTGACACGTGAAACGATCACTACTGAGTTCTTCTCCAGCCGGGCAGGTACATTGCGCGCCAACTGGAGTTTGAACACAACCATTAGTACACAATCCACCTTGGTGGAGGCATTCAGAGAGTTCGCAACCAAAACCCTCATCTCCGCCATTCGGGCAATCCAACTTGCTATCGCATACGCTGGTTATGTTTATGCAGCGATTTGTCACGTTCGGGCACTTCCACTGCTGGGAGTCGCATTTAAATGGAGGAGGCCCGCATGCATGTAACTCAGTATTCTCGTCAGAATTGTCACCACAATCGTCTTTGCCGTCACAAATATATGCCTTGAACACGCATTTATCGTTCTGACATCTGAGAAAATAAAGAAAGAAAATTAGATCAAGTTGGTCTAGATTTGAATAAGTCAGAGAAGAAAGAATACAGTTCATTTGATTAAAAACTACAGATAAAAATTGAGAAAGATGTAATCAATGAATAATACAAACCTGAAGAATCCAGGCTGACAATCAATCTTTCCACACGACTCCGGCTCGTCAGACTTATCAGGGCAATCCGCGGTACCGTCGCAATACCAACTCTTAGGTATACAGATGGCTGAGCTAACACACTGGAACTGTTTATCGGGATTGCACTGATCCGGTGCCAACGATGGGCAGCCCACTTCATCGGAACCGTCATTACAATCACTAATACCGTCACACTTATACGATGCTAAAACACACATCTTTTGGTCCGCACACGTAAACTGCGTACTGAGACAAGTAACTGGTGGACAGTCCATCTCATCTTGTTGATCGAAGCAATCACTGTCGCCATCACACACCCAAGATTGCGGTATACAGTGGCCAGAACGTGGACAGGTGAACTGAAAATATGAACACGTCTTCGCTGCACAGAATTCGCCCTCGTCAGAGCTGTCGCCACAGTCGTTCTCAGAATCACACTTCCAGGTCGCGGGAATACACCGGTTGTTGGCACAAGCAAATTGATTTGCGCTGCATGTTACATTTGGACAGCCCACTTCGTCGCTGTAATCGCCGCAATCGTTTTCAGAGTCGCAATGGAATGTTATCGGTACACAGCGGCCGGACTTGCATTGGAACTCGTTTGCGCCGCAAGTTGGCTTCGTGCAGTTCTGCGTCTCATCACTGTTGTCCAGACAGTCATTCTCGCCGTCGCACACCCAAGACTTTGGTACACATCTGAAAGTACAATCAATAAAATGAGCTAGATTGATTGAATTTGAAAATAGATACTGGTACATATATCAATGAATAGATATTAAATTATCGAATAAAGAAGTCACATCATATACCTCTGGTTTGCGCAAGTAAAGTCCCAAGTATGCGGACAAGCCTGCAAGGGTGGTTCACCATCGGGATCCGCTGCGCAACTCCTATCGTTGCCTTGAAGACGTTCTCCGTACGGACAACCGCATACATGAGTAAGTTTCGGTGTAAATGATATACCAGGGAAAACAATGTCGGGCTGTGAAGAGTTGTCTGGGATAGCGAAGCAAAGTTTTTCGCAACCTCCATTGTTAATGGCGCAGGGATGAGCAAGCGCCGTTGTCTGAATCTCACGACTGAAGACCTTCACACCGTAAAGTCTATTGGTAGCCGGTTCACGAACTAAGATAGCTTCCTGCTCACCGGTCTCCTTATGAAGTCTAATAATGGCGTCCAGACGCCAGTCGGTAATGTACATCCAAATGTCATGAATAGCAATGGAAAATGGATGTCGGATCAGTCTGGAGTCCACTGTTCGTACGTCTGTGCCGTCTAGATTTGAGTGTTGCACGTGATCTAGAAGAGCGTCGCACCAGTATAATCGATCCTTGTTAAAGTCAATTGCCAGACCGTTCGGCCAGCCCAGAGTTAGGTTCTTGAAAACGACCAGGTTGTTGCCGTCGGCATAAGCCCTGCTAATATTGGCTGGACGATCCCATTCAGAGAAAAAGATATAACCGTGGTTCGGGTGTATCACAATTGCACGAGGACGCTTCAGATTCTTTAGTAATGTTCGCCGATATGTGACATTGCGAGTGCTGAGGACGTTCAGTGTACCTGAGAAAATAGAAAGATCTGGTCAGCTAAAGATAAATCCTATTTTATTTGTAAGATAAACAACTTTTGATTATTAACTGCAAGATATTTAATAAAATTACGAGTTAGTTAATATAAATTAGCTGCTCTGATTGCTGGATAAAATAAAATTAGAGAGATTCCAGACGGACCTTTACGTGAATCGATGTAGTACAAATTCTTTGCAGCCCAATCGACCGCGAGTCCCTCTACTCCTTCGTTTTGGCTAGCCAATACGATTTCTCGGCCAGTCGCGTTCTGATGTACCCTGTATATGACATCTTGAAGAACATCACTGTAGTAAATGTACTGATCGTGCGCGTCATAATCCAGTCCAACGAATCGCGCTCTCCTAGACACCACCGGTAAAATGGCATCGCTAAAACCTTCCATTACTGGATTGAGTACGCGACCTTTGATAAACCTCTGCTGGGAATACATAAGGAACTCCTGCACCAAGTTACAATTCCTCATGTCATTCGCCAACCGCCATCCAATGTGGCAAGCGCAACGATAGCCTAATCGGTTGTTTTGATCGCTGGACGCAGTGACGATACACATATGTTGACAGCCGCCATTGTTATTGCCGCAAGGATTGAAAACACTAGGTTGGACAAGTGGATGTAATGCTTTTATAGCCTTAGCATCGCGTACCTTAAAAAATAAAATTATCCATGAAGCTAACACACACAATCACAAAAGTGAACTCGTAGAATGGGACTAGTCACCATTTCACATACCTTAAACACGGTTTGAATGGAATAATCTCCCTGAGTTTTGTCGACACTCATAACAGCTTGCTTGGTACTGTCTGACCAGTAAATCCTATTCTCAAAGAGGGTGAGTCTGATTGGGGATGGCACTTGAGCTCCTCTAATAATCATAACTCTATTGAGGCCCCTGTAGTCTGCCGTTTCGATATAGTCCAACAATGAGTCACACCAATAAATCCTTTTGGTGATAATATCCACGGCCACGCCGGAAACTTTGTAAGCCGCTTCTGAGACAATGGGGAACGCGTTGGTGCCGTCCATGTTAGCGCGAAGAACTTGTTTGCTGTCAGCGATAAACATGAGACCTCTCGTAGGATCTAACGCGATGTCGGCTGGACTCGTGAGATTGGAGCCCACGACAATTCCATGGTAGCGTCCATCCAACTCGAATACGTCCACTTTTTGCACAATAGAATCCGCCACGTACAATTTATCACCAACCCAATCCACCGCGATGGACACGGGTCCCCAGGAACCCGCCATGCTAATGTCCACTTTCCGTGCCGACTCCATGTTGCTGGGATTCAGAGACTCCGAGTGTACTTTTCGCGTTTTCATGTCGCTCCAGAAAAGTAAACCCCGCGAATACAAATAATCTAGGCCGCTGGCACCAGTCGTATTCGCGATTATCCTGCGATCCTCGCCATTAGAGCTCAATCGCCATATCGCGCGGTCTTGAGCGAGCAAGAGCTCCAGAGAGGAACTGTTCTGAGAGCGACACTTGTTGCGACCATGAAGAATATAACCAGGCGCGCAGGTACACGTATACGAACCATCATTGTTATCGCATAGTTGTTCACAGAAGCCCCATTCAGAGCACTCATCCCGATCTGCACAGAGAAGAATCCGATCAATCGTTAGGGAACTATTAAATGACAAATTAATTTGACGTACGAATTATTCAACATGTATACTTTTCTCATCTAAAAATCGTGAACTATGAAATCGTTTAGGACATTGAAAATTTCAATTTCTACAAATTGGACAACTTACCAATACAAGTCCGTGAATCGTTAGCAAGGATTCTTCCCTCAGGACAATAGCAAGTCCCTCCTGTGAGAGACGCTTGACATTTGTGCTGACATCCAAGCAAGCCGCACATACTCGTCGCTATGTAATAAAAAATTGCAAGTAAAGTTCATATATCTATCAATAATTATTATTAAAATGATCTTACGGAATTTAACAATTTTTCAGGATTAGAAAAACAATAATATGAATTTGTGTAATTGATTTTGTCTTCTAATCTTGATATTTTGAATAGCGAACGAACGGCGAAGCGAACAGTCACGAACGGCGAATTCGGCATGTATACGACACAACGAATGTAAATCAAACATTCGCTGTTTGATTCGATTCGCTCCGAACTAACGCACAAAAACGAAGTTCGTGCGCAATATGAACGGAATTCGTTGACAGCTTTGCTTAGTGTGAACAGAAAACCATCGAATGATTCGCGAACGCGAACATATAAGCATCTGAACATCCGTTCGTACACTGAATGTGTAGACGAACCCTAAAAGATCGTATAAACACTTACAACATGCCGCTTCCTCGTCTGCCCCGTCTTCACAGTCCGGTTTATCATCGCATAGTTGAGACCGATTGATACACAATGGCTTCCCATCTGATGCACCCTTCGGGCACATAAACTTATTTATTCCTGGACAAACTGTCATTGTGCAAGAGCTCTCGTCGGAATTATCGTGGCAGTCTTTATAACCATCGCATTGATACGCTATAGGAATGCAGAGTGAATTTGCGCATCGGAATTGATCGCTGGTGCACGGTGGGAAATCTATCGTCAAAAAAGCTTGTTAATGCTATTGGAATAATTATATTTTAGGAATTCTTTCGGACATCAGGATTTAAGCTTTAATTTCACAACTAAATATATTACACTTATTGAGACTTTTTAACCAATTAAAAGCACAATTCGATATAGATCGGTAAAATTAAGAAGAATGACAGAATGCAATATAAACAAACAGAATAGAATGATAGAATGGAGTGTCTAAATTTCACCCAATCAAAAGCAAGAATCACAACGACAAGAGTAGATCATCGCTGAACAAGTACATCGCAAAACCGCAAACTTACTGCAATGCTCCTCGTCGCTGTTGTCACCACAATCATCCCTATGATTGCACCTCAGGCTTTGGTCAATGCAGCGCTGCGTGGTATTACACCTGAACTGATCCAACCGGCAGGCTGGCTTCAATATGTTATTCATGCATCCATCCTCGTCCCTGCCATTTCGGCAGTCTAGGTAACCATCGCATTTCTTCTCTTTGGGTATGCAAAGCTCCGGCGTAGTGCCAACGCATCTGAAGTCGTCTGGCTGACACTTCCTGTATGCTACAACGGACATCGGATTCCCTTGTCACCCTTTTTCTACTATGAATCTCTTAGTTAATTGATAACTTTGTTAATGATATTACGTAGATAATAAGCTACAAGTGTTATGAAATTTGAGCTACGATTTGTGCGAAGCATATAATTTTAAAAACATGAATGCAGAACATATACTCAATATGCCTTTTACCACATACTCGATAAAAGCACCTATAATCAGTACGTGCTTATGCATGGAAAACGTGACAAATAGAGCAGCGCATGTCGCTTTTACGTAACGAACGTCAAAAGGTGATCTCCAGTTGATCACGCTTCTGAACAGTCTTGGATAACTCATCGTGATAACTCATATTAGCTGCGCACAATATGCAACTATATTTTGTACAATCACCTTTTGCGACACGTTCGTTGATAAACGCATGGAACGAGCCCGATGCACCATTCAAGAACGTGATTCTTCTCGCTTAGTTTACGCGATAATATGCAAAAGCAGCAGAAGGAACAAAAAGAAATAGAGAGGAAGATTTTCAAGTTACAACTAGTTCAGTCGCTAGACGCTAATTGTAACATATTGCTTTTATTTTCCCCTAAAGAAACATATACTGTAGTTGTAATAATGAGCGCATTCGTAAAAGTTTAAATTTAAAATTGCAATTGTAATGACCAGAAGTGTTCTAAATTCTACAGCTTGACAGCCAGAAAATTGAAAATAATCGGTGAATTTCAAAGTAAAATATTTCAGAGACTTAAAACATTGATAACCGCAGACAATGTAAAAGTTTGGACCTCGGAAAACATATTTTTGAGATACGGGGGACGAAAGTGTTATCCATATTGATAGGAAGTTTATGAACTCTAGTCTTCACTTGTGTAACTTTAGCGAATATAATATCACTAAGTCAACAATAGACCAAATATCGTTTGAGTTATCACGACAACGCGATAACTGACGGTCATGAAGAATCTGCCTAATCGGGACACAGCTGCTACTTGGCCATGCACTTATGTGAGCGGCCTTGTCACTGATGATAATGTTATCATACGATGTCTTTCGGCACTACGTATCCACAGTAATTAATAAAGCCTTTAAGTGCCTTAGACAATGCGCTTGATATCTTTGAGGTCATTTGTTAATAAACGCATTTCTTAGCACCATCTACCAGATGACTCACATAAAAATACCCAAGACAGTTGATTGCACGCTGAGTATTGTAGCAAATCTTGCGCGCGTTCTTACATATCGAGCGATTAATTCTCAATTAACACAAGCAGATTTGATTATGTGAAGAAATAACGTGAACTCAAGAAGTTGACGGAAATCTTAAATAAAAACCAACTGTATGAAAAGTTTATATTGGTAAGTGTCGCAGTCGTCTTATCTTCAGAGACAATAATTTCTCTTTGAAAAAGTATTTAGTTCTTTTTTCATGTTATAATTAGTAGTGTTAATAATTATGAGGAAGTGGCCGAAAGGCTCGGATATCCGGGTAGTTCCAGAGTCCCCGGGTACCCGGATATTGACACCACTGTTATTGTATCACAGCTGTGTGCATGCTTTGGCAGGAATATAACGTACTGGGTGAATTACTTTCTAACATATCGCCTAAATGATTATAGCATCGTTGAAAAAAGGGTAGAATGCAGAGTAGGTAGAGTAATAGTGCAACGTAGATGATAAAAGTAAGCGGAAAGGGTTAATGATGACAGAGAAGTGATTGCAATTTGTACTCACTACAGGCATCCTCGTCAGTGCCGTCGACGCAATCGACGGTCATGTCGCATCGTTGATGCGGGGGTATACAGTATGTCTTGTTGAAACTATACTGGCCACACGTGATTTGACCGAAATCACACTCGGGCGGCGCTGAAAACAAATTGAAATGAAGTTGGTAGGTTGCTGATTTCCACACACATTGCGAAAAACAATGTAGTACCAAAAACACGTGAGTACTTGGATAAAAAAAGTCTCCATGGAGCGATCTTCGAGATCTTGAAGTGTTTGAATAGAAACACCCCCTCCGAAAAGCTAATAAGTCAACACATTCCTACGTTATCGACTGTAGCGTTTGTAAATATTTGATCAGAATGCATCGAAAGTCTTCAAATAAGTGAGAGTGGGAAATGTACACACCGCAAACGTGGTTTTATCTGCGTACTCGCCATAAAATTAAATTAACAACAGACCGCAGACCGTTGAAAACTTAGTTCTGAGATTATTTTGGTACATTTAAAATTTTCTCACGAATTTCTCTCTCATGATTTCCATAGTTAGCACGATCAGAAACTCCAAATATATAATATACATCATATTTACAACATATATATGAAGAGGCTTCTTTTTCCGAATATCGTACAAAACTTTCTTCATCCATATGAAAAGTCAGAAGATTATGAGCCACTGATCTATTTGCATTATTAAAGATTCAACAGCTGCTGTAACTCGCAGCATACAGAGAATCGTTCAATGCAACGGGAGAGGCGCAAATTGCGCCGGTGCTATAATTGCGCGATGCATAATCAGCCGGTCGTCGATTCGCCGAGCAATCGAGGGAAGCTCCCTCGATCCTTTAATACCGGATGACTCGATAATCATGCCGCCATGCCAAGATATCATTTGTATTCTGTTTTTTTCTTTTTAATAATGTGCGAAGTTGACAATTTTTAAGGCTTCTTTTCAAACAGTTTCACTTTATATCTAAAGTGATTCATACAAATTAAGGATAATTGAAGGAAGTTATAAAATTATAACTTCCTTCAAAATCTACAGATAGAAAAGAAAAGAAAGAATATGTTAGATCTTTGTTTGTTGATCCAACTTTCAGACGTTAGACTAAATTGTGCCAGAACGAGACTGTTTGCAATAGATTTCTGAAAAGTGATTGCGCGAATATTGAGGAGAAAGTATTTGGGCGGAAAATATTGGAATTGATTCCATGCAAAACAATGTGCAATCGTGCCAGTGGGTCCGTTTCATCGAATGACACGCGGTAGCGGCACTTCTGCACGCTGTCCTCGAAAGAGGGTCACAGCCTTGCTTCCGGTTCTGACATTGTCACCCGCATAACAAACGCCCGCTGCCTCGGGGAGGCGTAGGGAAGTGGCAAATCCTCTGAGATACGAAAGAAACCTGTCGTACTTTAAGAGAAAAATAAATGCGATTAAAATTCTACAGCAACCAATCTCAACGTGAAAGCGATCAATATTATAAAAAAATATTAAGTCCCCTAGAAAAAAAGTTTTATTTTCTCTACAACAAAGATTTATATTAGATTTATATTTAGAAAATTATAATTCACCTCTATGTGAATAATAAAACTGGACTTTTATGTCATCTACAGTATAGATATCAAATGTATAACAAGTAAAAATCAAACATTAAGAATGATTACTTTTTATAAAACTTCATTTTCTTCTTTCAAGTTATTTTCATATTATTTTATAGCAAACGACGTGTCTTAAAATTATTGCCAATGCTTTGCTAAGTTGTTAACGTCAATCCTTTCTTTTTCTAAATTTTAGTACGACAAAAGTGACTTTTGCTCGTACGGAAAGATAACATATTGCACAAACCGCACTTCCGTCATGTAAATCTGGCGATAAGAAGCAATTACAAAAGCATTCACGTAATCGACATGGAAAAAAACTCCAGACAAAAGACCGTAAGCACTTCCGAGAGGAAGCCTCGGATTTTCGTCGAGCACTTCCGGCACGCGAGATTCGTTGTAAGCCATATATAGTTCAAGTTAGTCAACTGCATTCGCTGAAATGAAAACAGGAAGAGCATATTGAAAATTGTCCGCTCCAAGGCTGTTGTCATAATTGGTTTGAATGAATCCAGATCGAGCAAGTCGATAAAAATATAGTTCCAAGAAGTTTAAAACATAACATAGAGTTTTTTGTAATTAATGTTTAGGCGAATCGTTCTAAATTTTCAAACGACGCCAATTAATTGGCAGACGGAATAATCTGTTATTTTAAAATAACAGTTCATGTAAAATAAACATAAAAAATATCCTTGACATTTAATGAACATTATTTTAATTTACGATTGTTTAACAAAAAACATTGGTCGTGTTCACATAGCTAGACAAACTTCGTTCCTACACTTAAGCTGAACGCGTTGAGCATTCGGGCTTTATTAAAATATCTGTCGGAGGCTAAAATTACTCAACATTCGTTCTACTGATATAAATGTCCACGCATTGATTGCATCTCAGGGTCTTTACAATCATCAATCCATCCCTGACGTCAACAGTACTGAATGAAGGCGATGGCTTCATTCTGAAACTTCTTTCACCGAGAACTGTAATGAGGGCGACGGACGATCGCGAATTATATTCACGCATCTCCCTTTATTATTACTTAACGAAGCACTCCGTCATTAATTATTCATCAGCACGAACAGCGGAGCGTTCTTTAGACTAAACCTCGTGTCCGAAGACATGCTCCAATTTCCCCGGTTCTAGTTCCTACAGTAAGCTATATCTTTGTTACTGCACTTTGTCTCATCTCCCCCTAGGAGAAGTGCCAGTGAGTTTCACTTTGAAATGTAAGCATTATTGAAACTGTCGTTTTCGCGTTTCTTTCACGATAGAAGGTTGACGATAGAAAAGAATAATGCGTAATACTCACGACACGACTGCATCTCGTCGCTGTTGTCATCGCAGTCGCCGCGATAATCGCACACGAGAATCGACTGTATGCATTTGCCGTCGTTGCACCTGAACATGCCATTCCCGCAGCCATCGCCTGTAACAGAAAGCATGGAACATGAAGGAGTCGGCCGGGAAGCGATATTGCTGCCGTGATAGGTGAAAGGTTCAATGCCTGCCGCCGGGGAAACTTCGTTTCTAGGTGTAACTGTTGCAGAAGGGAGGCTTCTTCTAGGTTCGAGCGAATCGTCCCCGATGAACTTTCGCGCAACGATTATTTCGTCACCTCGACCGCTCGCGGTCTAACAATACGGTATTAGAGGCATAATTAAAGGGAAAACAGTGTTTTCATTGAAGTTTGACACGTGACAGACTCGAAGTACGTACTGGTAGTAGTGGGTGTACGGATACTCGGTCGTTGTCCCAAATACTCAAGTCTTCCGTGTATTCTCCGGGTACTCCAATACCCAATTATTATAGAAATTATCCGAGTACTTTAATATCATGAATATCGCGTATATAACATTACATGATAATTACATGGTACATTAGATGGTAAATAATAGAAAAGTAAGTCAATTGTTGTGAAAATTGTCAGGAACAATTCACAGACGAGTATCGCCTAAATATTATTCGTAGTTTTAGCTATCAAGTATCCGAACACTCGATTATTTCAGGTTGTACCCGACTATCTGAATAATCTCCCTGAACTTAAGTCCGGGTAGATCCGGATAGATACTCAGATTTAAACCTAACCGGTTATACTGACAGCACGAGTGCATACTTAACATACAAGTCATACGAATTGTTCACATCCACATTGCTCGTTGGTAAAGAGAATTACTGAAATAAAGTAAGATGACGACATTGTAAAGTGAAACCAGTCGGAACGTAGGGGACGCGACAATTAGCAGCGTCTCCGACTTTGAAGCAAAAATTTCGCTTTTAATCCCCGCTCTGTGTGTGACATGGCCCGCGAACGGAAACGCGCGATTTCCGAAGGTAGTAGCTAAATTCGTAGGCGGAAATTAAGACAACGACAATACATCCGTCTCCATGACTGCGGTAAACTTTTCTTCATTAAGACATGATTAGAAAAGCATACACAGCTTGTAAGTAAATGTTTACTAATTGCGTTTACATATTATGTAATTAATGTGAAGTCTTTTTCTCAAAAATAACATGTCACTGTAGTTCTTAAATTATAAAAGCGTTTTAAAACAAAAAATTTTTCACAAATTGACTCCCAGTAATCAAACAACCAAAGTGTAATCTACAAAGCTTTACTTAATTCTTCAAGAAGCGAATATTGTTTCAATTAAATTTAATTTTGGCACTTATAATTAAATATAAATATATATTTAATTTATTAAAAATTACATAGAAAGTTTATCCAAGATGAGATTTTTTAAATTATATTATCTTACATATTCTTTTAATTATATTGTACTAAATTTTAATTTAGTTTTCATTTAATGCTTAAATTTAATTTTATTAAATTAAAAAATGAATGCCTGTTGTGAATATGAAGTATTTAAAAAATAAAACTTTCGATTTAGATTTTATTTCATTTATTTAAAAAGGAAATTATTCAAGAAATCATGCGTATTGCTGTATAACAGTGAGGAATATATTGATTCTTCCGAATAATTTCTCGAAGCGTAGCCTCCGAGATGAAGATAAGAGAAAACATGATACGGAGGAACCGTTTCTTGTCTCGGCTTTTTGTTTGTAAGTGGCTTTGTTCGTCGACAAATGAGGGAAGCATTATTTACATAACGACGTTCGTGAAAAATTCCGCGTCGTTATGCAAATGCGTCTCTGTTAATATTCGAATACCGTCACCGCGCAGCTTGATGACGATGACACGTTGCTTGAGTTATTAGCAATAACAAGGATAATAATAAGCGAGCTTCTACTAAGTGTTTAAAGCATGAATTGACGATGACAGTTTAAATTTTAAAAATATAATTACTCTCTTGTTACATATTGTCGTTTCTTTGCCAACAACAGAAACTAAAAATATCTCAAAGTAATTAAAAAAAAAAATAAAGAATTAGGCGATTTCACAGTATCGTAAATTTAATTCAGATTATCGTAAATTAAAATGGTATTATTTGTATTATTATTGTATTATTATTAGTATTATCACATATTAGTTGTATTATATATACGATATTAGCCAGATATTACTCACGACGTTTGATATTAGATCCGATTAGTTCAGCTAATATCCGCATATCTTTGGTTATTACTCGCGCATTTAAATAGATACTTTATATAAAAACTATTCAGTTTGCATAGGCAATAATAATTTTTATACTTAAAAAATAAGTATTACCACGTAATACTTTATTTTTGTACTTAGAAAAAAGTCTTCATCGAGAGACACTTACGGTATTTTCCATTTACGCATATACTGCACACTTTATGCTTGTCGAGCGTGACCGATTTTTTAAACATTAATCTCAACGTCAGCCGATTGCACAGCAATCACAGGATCGCTTTCTCGTCCAAGGACGATCAATCAAGGATCCTCCCGCGATGGGAAAGTATCCGTAAATGGGCCTCGACTGCAATTACAGCGCGATAGGTTCTCCTAGGAGAGGAGATCATTTTTCCTTTCAAAACGTAAAGTGAACTTGTGAAACTCGTGTCGAAATAAAAATAGTCGCGAGCCAAGAAAAACTCATTATCTCAACCAGAGCGGTTGGGGATGGATTTTCCTTATTTGAAGCAATTGATTAGCAAGTAGTAATTATCAAGAAGCTCGTAGAATAAGTTACAGATAGCCTCTACGTTATTTGTAGAGTTTGTCATCCATTTTAGCATCTCTTTAATCACGATACTCGAATAGCTAAGTTATTTACAAGTTATCTACGACTTTTTTATGAATGATATTCAACCTATCCAATCTAATCCTAACCTAACCTAAAAAATATCTAAATGATTAAATATCTAAACGAATATCCGGTCACAAAATATATCCGGATATGGATAACATAACTACAATCATTGACGGAAAGTATGAGTCAAAGCGAAAGTGTGATACTTTCGAGGTACTATCATGGAACTATCACGTGTCCAGAGACTGTCACACTTTTATAAGACGATACTTGTAAGATAAATTTTTTGTCAATTGAATTCGTCAATGGTAGAGCTAAATAAAAAAATTTGAAATATGATTCTTGAGTTTATATTCTCGCCTCAGTCCTCCTGAGAATTTCCATTGTGAATATCGTCTGTTCGGCAACGAACCGCAGATCGCTGGATGCATTAGCGAGAAGCGAGAGGAACGCGAACATTTCGGCAACTAGCCATAAACAAATCGTTAATTTTAGAGATCATATATATCGCTCGATCATTACACTACGACGTTCGTTTAGAAACGAACCATAGACCGCTGGATCCACGAAGGAAAGTGAGGAGAGCAAAGAGGAGGTGAGAGTAGAGGTGTGTAAGTAAGCCGCGCTTGTGTGTTGTGGGTGTTTTACCATCACAAGAGAAGACATAACAGAGAGAAAGATAGGGGAAAAGGGAGAGAGAAGTTGCGAGAGGAGACAAGCTGCGGTCGATTAGAGAGAGGGAGACAATGAGAGTAGGAGAGAGACGCTGATGGCACTAGAGAGGAGAGCAGAGGCGAGGAGGTGGCCCCGGCTTGGAAGTGCAGCGTTCGTGCCAGGCTGCGCGGCCTGGTACGAACAGAGAGGCGGCAGCAGTCGGGAGGGAATGTGCATTGCGGGGTAGGGATGCAAATATCGAAGACAGATAGCGATATACACTCGTGCTCTCCAAACTTTTTTTCTTACAATATTTTCATAACCCACACAGCTGATCCGTGATATTTCTACTGAAGAAAATTAAATAAAAATAGTTATTTCCGGAGACTGCTCGTAAACAGGCAACCGATATCCTAGAATGTATATTCTATGTATCTTAAAATGTATATTGAATTACCATGTAACTTTTGTTTGATCGGCATGGTTTAAAAACTTTAGATTTGAAAAAGATAAGATTAAAAAAGATCAAAATCATGAAACATCAAGAAAATGGAAATCCTAAGGCGTCAGACCTAACAATCCTTAAGCACAGTGTTGGTAGGTCACTTTTCAGGACTTTTCTTTAGAAAAGTTTAAATCCAATCACGATAACGGAGCAACATTTTATAATTGCGCTTAGGAAAAATGTAGTAAGATAGAGCTTGGTTGTACAAAGTTCATCATCACGCTCCTAATGACCTTCCACTACGCAGAAAGGAAATGTGGAAATACCACTCTGAAATATCTTACGTAAAAGAACAATTTACAAATAAAATTGACACAGAAGATTGCAGAGTATAAACGCTTCTTTATTAACGTGATTTCCAATAAATCCATTTTATACTACTTTTTTGCCCCACGTCTCGCCATTACGTAATGCGGAATCAAGTCAGAAATAAAAGACCGCACAGGCTCCGGTAGATACGATCACTTATTTGATAACTATGTAACAATCGCGCGAACCGGTAGTGCCGCGCTCACACTTGGAGGAAAAAAATATGAATGTATCGCTATGCAATGACTCGAAATCGTAGGAACGGACATAAATTCAGTGGTCGTTCATTGGTGCATGTCTGCTATCGTCTATCCTACCATTTCCACCACGTTTCCGGCTCCGTGTGGCGAGCTTTAGCAATGATATATTGTTAAATAACGTAACAAGTATGCCGACACTCGTCCTATGACATCGGCACGCGGCACGGCGTTCACCTTCGCGCTCGCGTGAGAGGCGGATGCTCTTTCAGCAACGCCGTTCGTACCAGACGGTGCAATAGCCAGCCGTATGCACCGCGCCGCGCGGCGCATCCGACGTGTCGCGTGTTTTCCACGGGAAAACCGCCGGCTACCACTAATAGCGGCTCTGTGTACGCGGAATCGATTAGTTTCTCGCGTCCATTATCGGCGGAAAAGCGAAATGCGCGTTACCTGGAGAGAGACTGTCGAATGAGACTGTCGAATGAGACTGTCACACCGTATTAAATATTTTGTGACAGCCTGTCCTCTGGAAGAAAGGGTCGTGCCTGATATTATCGAGCACCTGGTAAGAGGAAAACGCGCA